TGTCCCTTTGCACTAGAATTGGGGCTTCCTTCCTCCTTGGCCCTTGAATGACTTTTAAGCAGTTCCATAACTGTTTTTTTGACTTTTAGAAGACAAGAGGTACTCCAGCCACTTCTAGTCCCAAGAACAGTAGCCTTTCAGGAATTTAAATGTCAGCGTAAGAAGACAAAGCCTAGAGCTTCCTACATCCCTGGGCTCAGAGCTGCTTTATTAGGTTTATAATGAGAAATGGAGCATGGTCTGCTAGTTCCTCCTTCCTGGGCTCTTCCCAATCCCCCAACACAGGTTTCTGACTCCTCAGGGTTAAGCTGGGGGGAGGGGGGGTGGAGGAGAGATAGCAAAGGGCAAGGTCTAAGTCACCTGACAACTTAGTGCCCTGAAGGGGTCAGAAGGTCTTCCCCACCTTGGGCACTTGTTGGCTGTCTCAGAGATTCTGCTGCCAGCTCCCTGACCCAGAGAAGTTTCTGGCCAGTAGCTTACAGCTCCAACCTTCAGTACAGAAGCATCTGGCTCACTTTCTCACCTCCCCACACCCTCTTGAGCCAGGTGCCTTTTAAGCAGGCTCCAGAAGACTACAAGCTTCACCCTGCTGCTGGAGGATATACAGATCCCGTGCAGTGTGGCCCTGTCTGGCTTACTCTATTAAGTGCGTGGTGCCAGCCTCCACTCCTGTAGGCTCTTTGGGCAGGTATCAGCCACTGGCCATGACTCTAGCCCACCTCTTAAGTCCCTTATCACTAGAATTAAAGCACAGAGGAAGCCCCATGGTGGCAGTAGGGAAGTACTTGGTATTTCAGTAACTATCTCCAAACAAAAATTCTCTCTCCCTCCTTAACTTCAATCCTTTTATAGCCCCAAGGTAAGGATACAGTAAAGGCCACAAAATCAGTGTTCGTTACCTCCTTTGCAAGCTGTGCACTGACCAGCCATGCTTTGGACTTCATTCCTACTGGTTAGTTCTTGGACTTAGGGGCCTCATGGAGACATAAAGAATCACACATAACCATCTTGTTACACAAACAATCCAATGAAGGAAATAAACAAAGCGATGGTTGCTACTCTAGGCCCAGGGATCAGGGAAGCCTGATGGAGGATGAGAAGCAGCCAGCCATGTAGAGAGCCGGGAGGATAGCATCCCAGGGACTGGGAAGGACAAAGGCAAGGGTACTGAGGCGGGAAAGAGCTTAGGGTGTTCGGGAAACAGAAACAAGTCCAATGCTGGTGGAGGTGGTAGACAGGGAGGAGCACACCGTGCAGGTAGGCCAGAGAGGTGGACGCTAAGGGCCATAGAGTCAGAAAGCAGATTAGAGGTTGCTGGCGGAGGAGGGCAGGGGAGGAATTGGAAGAGACTGCTTAATGGGTATAGGGTCTCCTTGGGGGATGATGAAAATGTTTTGGAACTAGGTACAGGCAGTGATGGCACCACAATAGGAGTATGTGTGCAATAAGCAGATGGATTCATCCATTCCCAGGGTAAGCAGAGTGCCATGGTCTGCTTTTCACTCTAAGTGCGCTCCAGCAGCCGTGTGGGGAACAGACAGCAGGGGGTGGAGAGAGATGGGGAGTGGGGCGGGGCCCTGGTCAGGAGGCTGCTACAGCCGTCCAGATGAAGGCGACGGTGGCTAGGATGAGGGTGGAGGCCTGGAGATGGGTAAAGACTTCTTCCCAAACCCTGGCTGATCCCACGGAGCCCAGCCCTGAGCAAAGCAGGAGGGATCCCGCATTCAGGCGGGGAAGCACGCAGAGCCCAGGGCACAGGAGGAAGGAAGGAGCACGCAGAACCTTGCGTGGGACCTTCCAGGTAGAGCCCTGGAAGGCCCAGCAGCGCACCTTGTTTATTGGGTGGGGGACCCTTTGGGCCCTGGCCTATGAGGACGGTGGCGCTGACGCTAACACATGTGTGTATTCCACGCCAGATACAGCTCAAGGAGCTTTACAGTCCTTCCTCCCCCAAACCGTATGAAATGCTAAATTGAACTACATGAAATAGCTTGTTTTTGAGGTCAAAATGATCAAATAGCATGGCTCAACGAAATGTCGTTATTTCATTTTATGGATAAGGAAGCTGGGTACAGACAGGTTAAGTAACTTGCCCAAGGGCACATAACCAGTAAGTGGCAATCACAAGTCAAACCAGCCAATGTTCAAATCTTGCTTCCTAAGCTCCAACTCCAGGTGAGTGCGGGCCCACAGAACTTTCTGTGATGGTTTTCTGTATCGGGGCCATCCAACACAGGAGCCAGTAACTACGTGTGGCTGTTGAGCACTTAAAATGTGGCTAGTACCAGTGAGGAACTGAATTTAATTTAATTTTAATGAAGTTCCATTTAAATAGCCACTTGTGGCTGGAAGTTACCATACTGGACAGTGTAGCCCTCCTGGCCACTGGGCCACGCAGTCTCTTGCAACAGCAGCAAAAAGACAGTCTGGCTTACTGTCTTGGGTCTTTTTAATTGAGGTTGGGGGAGGCTGGTCGGGGGTAGGCCTGCCAAGTAGAGCGCAATCATCCCAGTCATCCTTGTCCCTGTCCCACCTGCCCAGGAAGTCCCTCAGACTGAGACACCATGCCCCCTCACCCTGGAAATAGTTAAGAACCTAACCTATAGATCAGGCCAGCTGTTGCAGCCAGTGAACTGTACCCCGAAAGCAGAGCTGTCTTTTGTGAGAAGCTGAGCAACTTCCAATGTTTCAGAGTCTCAGAGCCATAGATATCATCCCACGGAACCCTTCCTCCCACATGTGTGGAGACTGAGGCACGGGGAAGGGGTGGTGGATTCTCATGGAGGCACTTTCCTAACACCACCTTGCACTCAGTCATCTCTGTGTTTGTCCCAAACTTCTTAGTAGCAGGGATTTGGGCTTCTCCCTTTACACATGGGAAATTAAGAATAAAAAGGCTGAACATCTTGCCCCAAAAATGGTCAGCAAGAGGCTGGATGCTACAGCCCACATCGAAGCAAACTCCACGCTAACTCCAGGGCTAGCTGCAGTTAAGGATGTTTCCATGGGAAGAACTGAAGGCCCCTAGGCTTGTTATCTCTAGAATTCTCTTGTTATTTCTAAACTCCTACATGACAGGAGTTCCTCAGTCTGAGTCAGGACATCCTGGGCTTAGGTGTTTTTAAGTTTCTCTAATTAATTCTGACCCAGCCAGCACAGCTACAACCCTCTAATTCAGGAAGCGCTCACCTCCATCTGCCTGCCCTTTCTCAGAACCAGACCCAACGAAGCTTAAAGACACACTGTAGCTTCCTCCTCCCAGAAGAGATTTTCCAGAGGCATCAGAAAGGAAATGAGAAAGATTCTGAGAGCGCGGGAGTGCTTGTCTCCTGCCCGCGCTGCCGCCATCCCCTGTGGCTCCTCCCCAGACACACATCCCTTCACACCCCTTCTAAAGCTTCAGAGCTGGAGGGCCCAGTCTTGACTCTCCTATCGCTCTCCATTGTAGGCTAAAGGCCGCCATGAGCTCAGAGGCACCCACCACTCGACAGCTCTCGGAGTACCTCAAGCATGCCAAAGGCCAGGCGCGCACAGCCATCCGCAACGGGCAGGTGTGGGAAGAATCCTTAAAGAGACTGAGGCAGAAAGTGGCCTTGACCAATGCCACAGGTACAGAAAACCCACTGACCCTCTGATGGTGGGAAGGGGCCATGACCCCGCAGGAGTGAACAGGAGTCACCAAAAGCTGTATCCCCTATTAGGAGCACCTCCTTGGCTCTCCCTGCTCAGATTCATGGGCTTGCAGAGCATGGAGGGGCTGAGGGGACAGCTGTGCCAGTATGGTTTTGTTTTATTTTGTTTTGTTTTGTTTGCAGAGAAAGGAACTCAAGCCCAGCAAGGTCACACTGCCAACTCCAAATAAGGGGACATTCATGCTCTTTGTGTAATGCCATCTGTAAAGCCTCTGTCCAGAGGAAGTACAAAAGTCAACAAACATGGGCTCCCTGTCCCAAACCACAGTGTCACCACTACTGTGCTTTATGTCTCCATAAAGGAGACATGTAAGCCACCTGTATCAGGGGGATTTACTGGGATTATGTCACAGGAGATGAGATTTCCATCTTGTCTTGCATAATATGGAGCTGAAACAATGAGGTGACGGATTGATTGTGATCTCCAACCCGTCCACTCCCACCCCTACCAAATGCCACAGCTTCTGGAGGGTCAGAGAGGGAGGGGCTTGGTCCCAGCCAGAGGAAGGGGCTGCACGTTCTTCCTGGGAAAACAGCAGGTCCAGGAAGATAGCAGGCTTAGGACTTGAGCAAATTCCAAAGTTCCAAAAGAAGGAAACTGGGATGAGGTAGGGAGAAATAGGGATCACTTTAGACTCTGAGACTCAAAAGGTACAGAGGGTTGAACCCCTGCCCCTGCCAACCTTCACAGATGGTCCCCTGAAGAAGCCCCCATAGAGCAAGATTCCCTTGCTTCTCTTTCATGCAGGCACCGGGATGGATCACAGACTGCTTTAGGAGGTTAGCAGTTCTCTCCTTTCTGTGCCAGCACGGGAGCCTCTGCTGCGTAAAGCCCCACTATGTTACTCCTCCCAGGACCACAGCGCCCCTCACTTAAAAATTACCTGTCCCGGGGCACCTGGGTGGCTTAGTCGGTTGAGCACCTGACGTTGGCTCAGGTCATGATCTCGTGGTTCGTGAGTTCGAGCCCCACATCGGGCTCGCTGCTGTCAGCCTGTCAGCACAGAGCCACCTCTTCAGATCCTCTGCCCCTCCCCTACTTGCCCTCTCTCGATAATAAACAGTTTTTAAAAATTACCTGTATCTTCCCAACATCTTCCTTATCTAGGTTCCTGCTTGCTTGGTACTTTAGATGTCAGTGAAGCTTTAGAAGAAGAAAAGCAGTCTTATCAGACTAACTCCTACCAACATGTGCTTAACCTCTCAGCGGTATTTTGTTCTAAAAGAAAGATCTGTTGATTCGAATGCCCTGATTTTAAAAAAAAAAAAAATCACTAACAATGCTAGCAACTTTCACAGTTACTACCTGTGTGGCCTTGGGCAAGTCCCTTGAGCAATGTGGTCTCAGTTTCTCATCTGTAAAATGGGAATTAAACCTCTTACCTCAATGAGTTGTCAGGATTAAACAAGAAACCACCTGAGAACTGCTTACCTAAAACAGACAAATGCATTCCCAGAAAAGTAAGTTCCCCTCTGCTTTCGGTTTCCTGCCTCCCCGCCGTGCCTCAGAATGGAGAAAGAACTCAGCCCCTCTGGCGTCCCTTCTGTTTCAGAACCTAGCCTGGACTTGACTGCACTGTCTTGGGAGGTGGGCTGTGGTGCCCCCGTTCCTGTGGTGAAATGTGACAAGGACAATCCTTACCGAACCATTACAGGAGACTGTAACAACAGGTGAGGGGGCACGGGCACTTGTCGGGGGCGGCCCAGCTAGGGGCTTTGCCGCTTGGCCATTCCCGGCAGAACCCCCGCTGCCTCCCCCTCCCGGGCCTGCGGCCCACCGGAACCCGTTCTTATTGGACCCTTCCCGAGCTTCCCCGTCTTCCAAAGGGGCCGCCGTAGTCCCGCGCCTTCAGAGCGGACGCAGTTCAGCGACCCCCCTCCCCGTCTGAGAGGCGCCTCCCCCGCGCCCCCTTTCCCTCGGGCGGAGTCCCGCCCCTTCCCTACGGGTCCCCCAGGGCTTTGGAGAAGCGGAGCCCGGAGCGCGGGCCGAGGCTGAGGGCGCGTCTTGCTCGGTTTCAGGAGGAACCCCGCTCTGGGCGCCGCCAACAGGGCGCTGGCGCGCTGGCTGCCCGCCGAGTACGAGGACGGGCTCTCCCTGCCCTTCGGGTGGACGCCGGGGAGGACGCGGAACGGCTTCCCGCTCCCGCCGGTGAGGGCGGGCCCGGGGTGCGCGCGAGCCCCGAGCGGGAGGGTGCAGGGGGAGAACCCAGAGAGGACGGGAAGCGCCACCAAACGCGCACGGAACGGAAGAAGAAATAGGTGGGAGGGCGGAGGTACGAGGTGGGACCCGCAGCCGGGGAGAGGCGGAGACTTGGACGGGCTCGGGCCGTGCTCCCCTAAGTGCCACTAGAGGGCAGCGGAGCCCGGAGCCCAGCCACGTGGTGGTCACGTCCTAGCTGCCCACAGGCCAGAAACCCTGGGGTCTCCCAGGCAGATGGCCTCCCTGCCCCATCCTGCCCGCGCTTACCCCGCCCCGGCCCCTGGGGTGCATCAGCTGTTGTTTGCCCGGAGGTCCTATCTGTTGGCCTCTTCTGAGTTGGCAGCCCCTCCCCCAGAGCCCCTCTCCTCCTCCCAGACACCTGGCACCTCCCTGTCGCTTCACAAGCAGCCTGTCTTTGTTTTCCCTTTTCCATAGTGGAAAGGTCACTGGCCTTGCAAGCCATCAGTTCCCACAGACGTGTGTTCAGTCTCATCCCTACTATCCCCTTTTGTAGCTGCAGGACCGTTGGAAATTGGCCTCACCTCTCCAGTGTCCTCACCTTCAGAAAAGGTGTAATGCCACCCACCTCACAAACTTGTCATGGGGATTAAATGTACCTGTTATACCCTGGGTGTTCAATAAAACTGCAGTTGAATCTGACTCCTCAAAGCACTTTTTCCTCCAATCCTTCCTCCCCTTCTGTCTCCATCTGTAGGCCCGCGAGGTTTCCAACAAGATTGCAGGCTACCTGAGTGAGGAGGGTGTTCTGGACCAAAACACGTCCTTGCTGTTCATGCAGTGGGGTCAAATTGTGGACCATGACCTGGATTTTGCCCCCGACACCGAGCTGGGGAGCAGCGAGTACTCCAAAGCCCAGTGTGACAAGTACTGTATCCAGGGAGACAACTGCTTCCCCATCATGGTAGGCCCCTGCAGCTGTTGGTAACAAAACCCCTGCCTCCCTGATGTAGCAGGGTACCTCATGGTAGATCTCGAATGCTGATTTGACAGCTTCCCAAGCCTCACACATCCATTCATTCACTCATCCATTTATTCAATAAATAGACATTAATCATCTACTCCGTGCCAGGCATGGCACTAAGCACTGGGGATTCAAAGGTGAATAAGACACTGTTCCTTTCCTCAAGGACAAAGAGCCTGTGTGGGAAATGGACAAGTAACCACTAATGGTGAAATTGGGAAGCTCTGGGGAGGGGCGGGTTGTCTATGTGCCTGGCCCAGCAGCATTGGCATCACTTGGGGACTTCTTAGAAATGTAAAATCTCAAGCCTCATCCCAGACATTGGGAAACAAAATCTACATTATACCAGGATCCCTAGGAGATTCCTTCTATACACAGTGAAGTTTGTAGAACGCTGCTGTAAGTCATCGGGGTCTGGGACGGCTGCTCCCAGAAAGAGCTGCAATTTGATGGATGAATCAGAGTGAGAGCAGGGATTTGTGGGGATTTCCAGCAGGAAGAGAGAGGCACTTGCAATGGTGCCCCATTTTTTTCTTATTTTACAGTTAGAGAGTGATTTATTCACTCAAACAAATCAAGGCTCTGTGCTGTGGTGTAAAGAACACGGACTGTGGAGAGAAGTCAGTCTAGATCTGAATCCCATATATTTCCCTTCCTGTTTACAAGTTCTGGAACAAATTACTTAACCTTTCTGAGCCTCGATTTTCTCACCTGTAAAATGGAACTGAATTATCTACCTTACATTTTTTGAGGACCAAAGTGAGATAAAGTATGCATAATGCATAGCACATGTTAGATCCAAAATAAATAAATGGTAGCTGTTTTTAGTAATTTTTTTATTGTTTATTTCTTTTGAGAGAGTGCATGCAAGCAAATGGGGGAGGGGTCAAGAGAGAGGGAGATAGAGAATACCAAGCAGACTTGGACTCAGGGGCTCATCACAGTGTTCATTGGGGGGAGGCTTAATGGAAGGGGGGAGTTTGTGAGGGAGGACTCGTGCGGGAAGGGCTCAATGCTGGACTCGACCCATGAACCACGAGATCATGCCCTGAGCCAAAATCAAGAGTCGGTCGCTCAACTGACTGAACCCCCCCCAAGTACTCCGTTCATAGTAGTTATTAACAAAGCCTTTCCTATTTCTTGTCCTGCTTCCCTGTCCAGGGATCTCAGGACTCCCTCCCCACCAAAAATTTGGAACCTCTGCTATAAAAGAGTGAATGATTCCCCTCAGACCTTTTACACAGTGGGATGTAATGAACTTCAGGGCATTGTGGCTCAGGATGTATAGTGTCAGCAGGAGGCATCTGGAATCAGTGTCTGGTCCCAGCGTCCCAGAAGGGCTCCATCAGCATCTTTGCCAGCCGCATCCAGACCCACCCTGGGGAGAGGTTGCCAGATCCCAGCTGTGCCACCTCTGCCCAGTCACCCACCCCCCAATCTCTCTGCAGTTCCCTCCCAATGACCCCAAGGTGAAGACTCAAGGGAAGTGCATGCCCTTCTTCCGAGCTGGGTTCGTCTGCCCCACTCCACCTTATCAGTCCCTGGCTCGAGATCAGATTAACGCTCTGACCTCCTTCCTGGATGCCAGCCTTGTATACGGTCCTGAGCCCAGCCTGGCCAGCCGCCTTCGAAACCTCAGCAGCCCGCTGGGCCTCATGGCTGTGAACCAGGAGATCTGGGACCACGGACTGGCTTACTTGCCCTTTGACATCAAGAAGCCAAGCCCCTGTGAGTTCATCAACACCACGGCCCAAGTGCCCTGCTTCCTGGCAGGTGAGTCCAGGCTGGGAACAGAGGGGCCCAAGGACTGGGAGCAGAGAGAGACCAGAAAAACCAGGAGGCTGCTAGGTAGCTTCCAGAGAGGCTTTACTGCTTCTGCTTTCCGCATGCTTTCTGGAAAAATGCACACCAAGCCCCCACTGCCTCTGGCACTGGTCCAGGACTGGTAGAAGGGCCCGGATGAATACAGAATCTAAGAACATGTGTTCACCATCAAACAAACAAAACAATTAAATCCAGAGAAGCACAAATAAGAAAAACCTACCACCCACAAATGATCATTGTTAACATTTTTAATGCCCACCTTTCCAGGTTTTTTAAATCATAGATATAGTTCTACATTGTTTTACATAATTGGGGTTATACTATCAGTTATGTTCTATAACCTGATGTCTTCACTTAATATATCACATCATTAAATATTCTCCAGCATGATTTTTACTGTCTGCCTGATATTCCCTGACATACATTATCATGATTTATTTTCTCAATCCTATTTAGAAACACTTAAGTCATTTCTAGTTTTCCTGTTTTTTTTATTTTTATGTTTTATTTTTTTATTTTAATTTTAATTTTTACTTTATTGTTTTTAGGTAATGAATATCCTTGTTGATGAATCTTTGCGCTCATTTAAAAAAATTTTTTTAATGTTTAATTTTTGAGAGAGAGCACGAGCAGGGGAGGGGGGAGGAGAAGAGAGAGGGAGACACAGATCGGAAGCAGGCTCCAGTCTCTGAACTGTCAGCACGGAGCTCTATGTAGGGCTCGAACTCAGGAACTGCGAGATCATGACCTGAGCTGAAGTCAGATGCTTAACCGACTGAGCCACCTAGGCGCCCCTGGACTCATTTTTAATAATTTTATTAAGATAATTTGTTAGAAGAAGAAATTTTAGATTAAGAGGAATGCATATTTTTAAGGCTTTTTATAAACTTGGCACAAGGCCCCTGCTCCATACAACCTGTGCACAACCAAAGCCCCCCAATTCTGTTCATTCTGGGGGCCTCATGTCCTCCTGGTCCTCTTTGCCTTGGGCTCCTGGAGGCCTTTCCTCTTCCAAAAATCTACTCTGTCAGGATAACCCCCGCCCCCGCCCCACCTACCTGGACATGGCAGAAAGCCAGTCCATAGGCCCAGATCTCTTGGGTAGATCTCTTCGATTCTGTGTTCACACATATCTCACATCAATCCAGATACAAAACTGAGCCCTTTCCTGTTTTCCACAAAAATATCCGGTAAGACCAAGCATTTGGGAATTTAATAGACTTTTCCTAAAGATTAGAGGACACAAGAAATCCCCTTGTGACCACCTGGTCTTTTGCCAGTTAGCTGACCTCCTATCCTGTCACTCTCTTCTTTCCTTTCTTCCAAAGGCCCCCATCTCTAGGTACTTCTCCCATTGTTACATGGACAAATTCGACCCTACCTAGGAACCTGCCCTCAAACTCCCATTCATAAAACTTTTCAAAGTTTCTCTCCACCAAAAGCCCTTATCTGTTTGTACTGCCCCATCTTAGAAGGAGTTGGGATTGTAATTAGCAAAATTTTCCTTTTTCATGTCATCTGTAGTTTCGAGCACAGTCTTGTGCAGTCAGCCTTCTTATCCCCATTTTCACAGATACAGGGACTGAGGCTTAGAAATGCCAAGTAACTTGTCCAAAGTGACCCAGCTAAAAATCATGTGTGTGGAGCTGAGATTCAAACCTCTGAATCCCAACCCCCATCCCATTCCACTTGACTTCCCTTAGGTTAACTGGAAGGAGGGGCTTAGGAGAGGGTCCCTTGGGGGCACTATCGTGTATTTCTTTGTGCAAGTTACTGGGTTTTGGGGCTACTCAGGGGGAACCAACCTTCCTGCCTTCTGGACTTTCAGGAGATTTCCGAGCCTCCGAGCACACTTTGCTGGCTGCTTCCCACACCCTCCTTCTCCGAGAGCACAACCGGCTGGCCAAAGAACTAAAGAGACTCAACCCTCACTGGGATGGAGAGAAGCTCTACCAGGAAGCCCGGAAAATCCTGGGAGCCTTCATGCAGGTACAGAAGCCCAGGAGCACTGCCTCCCTCACCCACCTAGCTTCTGCCCCCCCCCCCGCCCCGCCACCCCTGCTCTGCCCACAGCCACCCTCCAGCTACCTCCTCTGTGTTCCGCACCTCCTCTTCCCTTCTCCTCCGCTGCTTCCTTCCCACTGCCTCATTATTTCAGCCCTCCTTCTTGTTTCTTTAGCTTCTCTGCCCCAAAATGAATCCCTGAACTCAGAGTGTTGGAGAGTCATTTGTCTGTTGGTCACTCAGTGTGCCTGCCCAGATGCCACCATCACTGGGACCAAAGTCTCCGTCTCTCCTGGGACTGACTGTTGCAGAGCTCTTTGGGTTATTCAGTTGGACTGTCTTCTTTTTCAATTCTCCGCACCTAAGCCACATGTCACAGGCAGAGTCCATTGCTATTGTAGATTGGCTGATTGACTAACTAGAATTAACTGTGCACGTATTTTTTAAGCATTTTATTTTGAAATTATTATAGGTTCTCAGGAAGTTGTTAAAAAAAAAACAGTACACACACCCAGCCTCCTCAGTGCTAATGTTTTTGCATAACTATGGTACAACATCAAAAGCAGGACATTAACATTGACACCAACCAAAGGTCTTATTCAGATTTCACCAGATTTAAATGCAATCGTGTGTGTGTGTGTGTGTGTGTGTGTGTGTGTGTAGCTCTGTGCAATTTTATCACATGTGTAGTTTCATGTAACCACCACCACAATAAAAATACTTCACTCTCCCATCACCTCAGGACTCCCTCCTGCCCCCCTCTGATAGCCACATCCACCCTCCCCCTTCCCAGGTCCCTATCACCTGACAATCACTAATCTGCTCTTCATCTGTACTGTTTGGTGAATGTTACCTAGATAAAACCATGCAGTATGTATCCTTTTGAGGCTGGCTCTTTACATTCAGCATAATTGCCCTGAGGTTCATCCAGGCTGTTGTACCTGTACAGTCCCTTCCTTTTTGTTGCTGAGTAGTATTCCCTGGTTTGTTTAACCATTTACCCAGTGAAGGACATCTGGAGAGTTTCCAGTTTGGAGCTATTATGAATGAAGCTGCTATAGACATTCGTGTATACATTTCTTCATGCAAGTAAGTTTTCCTTTCTCTGGGAAAACTCTGCCCAAGTGCAGTGGGTCATATCGCAAGTCCATTTCGAGTTTTAAAAGGAACTGCCAAACTATTTTCCGGAGTAACTGTACTATTTTATGTTCCCACCAGCAGTGTATGAAACATCCAGTTTCTCTGCATCCTGGTCGTGATTTGTTGTCATTGTTTTTTTATTTTACTCTTTCTGATAGGTATGTAATGTTATTTCATTGTGGTTTGAATTTGCACTTCCCTAACAGCTAATCATGTTGAACATCTTCTCCTGTGCTTATCTGCCACCTGTATATCCTCTGCAGTAAAATACCTGTTCATATATTTTGCCCATTTTCAGATGGATTATCTTTTAATGTTAAGTTTTGAGGGTTCTTTGTATATTTTAGATACAAATCTTCCATCAGATATGTGACTTATAAATATTTTCTCCCAATCTCTCATTTTCTTAACAGAATCTGTTGCAGAGTAAGAGTTTTTAATTTTAATGAGGTCCAATCAGGACACATTTTTTTTTTTTTTTCTCTCATGGGTTGGGCTTTTGTATCAAATCTCAGAACTCTCTGTAGTCCTAGATCTCCAAGATTTTTATTGGGTTTTTCCTAAAGGCTTTATACTTTTATGTTTTCCACTTAAGGCCATGATCCACTGGGGGTTAATTTTTGTATAATGTGTGAAGGTTAGGGTGAGGCTCATTTTCTTTGGCCACAGGGTGTCCAACTGTTCAGCACCACTTACTGAAAAGGCTATCCCTCCTCTAGTGAATTGCTTTTGTTCCTTATCAAAAATTTTTTGGGCATATTAATATGAATTTATCTCAGAATTATCTATTCTATTCTGTTAATCTATGTGTCTATTCCTATACCGGCACCACAGTGTTTACTGTGGCTACACAGCAAGATTTACCATGGGGAACCATGATTCTTCCCACTGTATTCTTTTTCCAAATTGTTTTTGCTGTTCCAGGTCTGTCCCTTTCCTATGTATTTTTAAATAAGCTTATCTACATCTACAAAAAAAAAAAAAACCTTGCTGAGATTCTGATAGGAATTGTATCAAAACTATAGATCAATATAGGAAGAATTGACATCTTTACAACATTGAGTTTTCTAATCTGTAAATGCAGTGTGCCTAAGTGTTTAGGTTTTCTTTGCTGTACTTCATCAGCATTTGGTAATTTTTATCATACAGATCCTGTACATGTTTTGTTATATTTGTACCTGAATATTTCATTTTCTTTGGGTAAGTCATAAATGGTATTAAATTTTTTCTGACCTGCCACTTGCTCTTTATCAGTGCATAAAAATGTAACTGATTTTTATATGTTGACCCTGGCCTTGCTGAGCTCAGTTTGGGGAGTTCTTCTTGTAGAATCTTTAAGATTTTCAAAAAAAAAAAAAAAAAAAAGATTTTCTATGCAATCATGTCATCTGCAAATAAAGACAGTTGTATCTCTCTTTTTGTAATCTATGTTTTTAAACATTTTTTCTCTTGTCCTATATCAGTGGCTATAATTTGCAGTACTGTGTTGAATAAGAGTAGTGAGAACTGGCATCCTTGTCTTCCTAATCCTAGAGGGAAAACATTCAATCTTTCACCATTAAGTATAATGTTTGTTGGGGTGCCTCAGTTGGTTGGGTGTCTCAGTTGGTTAAGTATCTGACTCTGGATTTCAGCTCAGGTCATGATCTCATGGTTCATGGGTTCGAGCCCCGCATCGGGCTCTGTGCTGACAGTGCAGAGCCTGCTTGGGATTCTCTCTCTGTTCCTCCCCTGCTTGTGGTCACTCTCTCTCTCTTCCTCTCTCTCTCAAAATAAATGAACTTTAAAAAAGTGTAATGTTTGTTGTAAATCTTCTGTGGATGCTCTTGATGGGGTTGAGGAAGTTCCACTCCATTCCTAGTGTATGGAGAGTTTTTATCATGAACAGACGTTGAATTCTGTCTAAGGTCTTTCCTCATTAATAAGACTTTTCTTCTTTAGCCTATTCTGTTTGCTTCAGGTTTATTTTACTCTTCCTTCTGGTTTCTTTCAGCACTTGGAAAATGCTATGCCCCTTCCTTCTGGGCTCCATGGTTTCACATTGGTGTTCATTTGTAGATAATGTGTCGCTTCTCTTTGGCGATATTTAAGACTTTGTGTTTAGTTTTCAGAAGTTTAATTGTAATGCATCTTGGAGTACATTTCTTTGGGTTTATAATGTTTGGTATTCATTCAGCCTCTTGAATCTGTAAGTGTATGTCTTTCACCAGTTTGGGGACGTTTCTAGACCTTATTTCTTCAAATTCTTTTTTAGCCACCCCTTTCTTCTCTATGTCTGGGACTCCATTAATAGGAGTGTTAGCTCTTTTGTTATTGTCCCACAGAGCCCTGAGGTTTCTGGTTTGTTTGAGGTGTTTGTGTGTTTGTTTTGTTTATTTTCTCTCTGTTGCTTAGATTGAGTTAATTCTACTGATCTGTCTTTAGTTCTACCCTGTCATCTCCACTCTACTACTGGGTCTTCCTAACAAGTTTTAATTTTAGTTAGTATTTTTCAATTCTACAGTTTCAGTATTTTTTTTATAAATTCTACTTCTTTGCTGAGATGGTCTGTTTTGTGTTTCAAGGTAACTTGTAATTGATTGTTGAAGCATTTTTATGACAACTGTTTTAAAATCTTTATCAGATCATCTCAGTACCTGATTCATGTAGGTATTGGCATCAATTGATTATCTTTCCATTCAAACTGTGGCTTTTCTGGTTCTTGGCATTATGAGTGATTTTTTAAATGATATCCTAGATACTTTAGTTATTATGTTAGGAGACTCAGGATCCTATTTAAGTCTGTTTGGGTTTAACATGTATGTCTGGCATACTTTTGTGGGCTTTAGTTCATATGACAGGTTTTTTTTAAGTTTTTTTT